AGAAGTATGACACGCCTTCTTGTATATGACATTGTGCAGATGCCACCTCAAACAAGCAAACCAGGACGGCAATTGGGTCTGTACCATACTATTCAGTACTTGATTACCAATTACCTTATATATTATTCTCTAATTGTTCCTTATTCATAAGCCTTTCCTCACTAAACAGATTACAAGCTGGATTAGGACAGTCTGTCACGTCGACTTCTTTTGTAGTCTGCTTAGAACCTAACATGGTAAGGACAAGTAATAAGCTCTCTAAAATAGTAATTGATTAACTGGAAGTTAAATAGAAAATATCTGCATACAGAGGGGCTTAGGGGAGAGGGAGAGATCTTAGTGATGAGACAGAAAGATGATTCCAAAAGTGTTATTTTTTAAGAATTAAAAGGGAGTCAAGCGAAACATCGACAACAATGGTAAGTTCTATTATTTATTTCTTTTATTAAGCATGATTAGGCACAATGTGAACAAAGGAAATGTTTGCAGAGATATAGAAAAAATCATAATTTGTCAATTGCACTGATCATCAGGAGGAGAAAGAAGACATGCTTAGGATATATGTGTCCCTTTACCATGTGAATGTCATTCCCATAATACAGACAATGACTTGTCATTATCCCAGCCTTAGAGGGTAGCCTCTGTTATAAACTGATTTCAAAGCAACCTAAGCATTTGTGTTTTTAAAAAGATTTTTCTCAGATCTAAAAATATCAAAAATGTTTTTAAAAAACACTTTGTTTCTGATTTTGGGTCAGTTAGTAAGACATCTAGACAACATAGTGACTACTGGGCTGGGTTTGGCATCAGGAGAACCTGGGTTCAAATCTCACTCTAATACTGACTGAATGAGTTACTTAACCCACAGATATTAAGGTAACTTCCTAGGACTAACTACTAAGTCATAGATGGGTTGCTATCTGCATTAGTGGAGGGAGTTCTCTCACCAGGATTTCTTCATACTGATGAAATCACAACCCTTCTTGAAAGGGTAAAAGTAGAATATTTGGCCAAATTCTAAAGGAAAATTTAGTAATTGAACTAATTTGCAGAAAAGGGGGGGGGATAAAGGAATAAGAAGGGATACAATCCATTCTGTGGTTCTCTACTCAATGAAAATTATTCTGCTTTATTAAGCTTCACAAAATTTAGAAACCATAGTGTTTATTTCCCAAATAACTAAAATTTCATAGATATGTTTTATCTTAAGCACTTAAGGGACTTGAAAAACCAGTTAATAGATGTTTAGGAAATGTGCTGCTGAGTCATCATCCTGAATTCTTCCCTGCAGTTGATTTTATTTACCTTCCTCCTAGTTCATGAAGTCGTCTTTTTATATCAGCTAATATCACTATTTATTATCACCTCCACCTATTCTTTCATTGTCAACTGTTTGCACCTGTCAATGAACTGACCACATAGAGACCAGTGTGTGTATTCCAGAGAAAGTGGAATGTCAGCAGCTGACAAAACAGAATCATGGCTTAAAGGGGATGGGGGAAAAGGACTCGATAGAATGACGTTGAAACTTTAGTTACAACAGAAGAGCAAACAATATCATTTGTATGTGGGTTGCATGGTGTTTTTTTTAAGAAACATTTTCGGTCTTTGTAAAAATGTCAGTGCTGTAAGGGAGACTGGAAAATTATTTGCTGGAAGATAGATATTGTTTTGCTACAGACTCCACTAACTACAGTTCAGATACGGCATTAAGCTGGATATGGGAAGAGGAAGTATCAGCCAGGAGTTGGTCCACTGTGTATCTGATCAGATTCAAAGCCTTTTATAGATGTGAAGTCATCGATTCCCAAGCCAGAAGGAGGCATCTTAGAGATCACATAGTCTAGCCTCACCATTTTACAGATGACAGTTGAAAAGATTGAGTTATTCCCCCTGATTAGCCTGGAGATCTCTTGGTGATAAAGTTGAGGTGAAGAATTGGCCTTCTTGACTCCTGTATCCTTTCCATTAAACCATGCTTCCTCTTAGTAACTATAAAGCAATTAAACCTTTCTTGGAGTCTCCAGAACAGCATTTCAAATGTTATGTCCTCTGCTTTCAATCACTGCGGATCAATCACTGCTAGACCTAGGGTCTAGGAGGCAGGGGTTGGGGTTGAGGGAAAGGGCTTCCTCTTTTATGGCAAACTCAACTGAGATGTGATCACATCCTTTTCAGCAACTAATGTTGTTTGGGATACAGTGAGATCCCAAGGTTTTGTTGATATAAGATGGATCAGATTATTTCCCTCCCCCCCTGCAATTTCTATAGGTTGAAATTATTAAAAAAAAAAAACAACAGCCCAATTCCCTCTATTAACACAGAGAGAGGTGTTAGTCATAGCCTCTTCTAGGTATGTAGGTTTAATATGCTGACAGTGAATAATCCCACCTCTCTGTATTTCCTTGAAGTTATGCTAACTTACTGGTAGTCAAGTGATGACTAAAGACCAGTAACTCATTCACACTTCAATGACTTTATGAATCTTGAGTCAACAATAGGCTCACAGAATGTTTGAATTGGAAAGGATTTTGTAGTTCATCTAGTCCAGACTTTTCATTTGGCAGATGAAGAAACTAAGACCTAGAGAAATTTTAACTTTTCCAATCCAGTTAGTGGCAGGGCCAAGGCTAGATTTCCAAGGTCTCCAGATTTCCGAGCTAGTGCTTTCCCCACTATTCTATAGTTATTTCCATTGAAGCATGGCTGAGAGGATAAGAAGATATAGAGTAAAGGATGCCTCTGAGCTTGGATGTTATCAGATCAAGTCTCTTAAGTTGCCTTCTTTTAGCTGAGTATGATTCCAGGAGGTCAGAGCCAGCCCTGTATCTCATTTCTCTAGAGGACATGTATCACTTTGGTGGGGGGACCCTAGAGGATTTAAAGTGCTATTTACTAGGTCTTCAATGATCCTAGGAATCCCCAAATGAATATATTCCCTTAGACCTGCCAACCCAAGGACTGATATCAAGAGAGCCAAGGTGGCAGTGTAGGGAGCAAAGAATGTGCCAAGAAGTCAACTGTTCTTTTTTTTTTTTTTGGTGAGGCGATCAGGATTAAGTGACTTGCCCAGGGTCACACAGCTAGTAAGTGAAGAAGTCAGCTGTTAAGACAGAAGTAGGGGTCATAAGTCAAATGCACAGGAGGTAGGAAATCAATCTCAGGGGTTAAGATAGAGCCAAGGGTGCTATGAACACAGTCAAGGAGGAAGAGAGCAATTGAGCTAGGAGAACAAGCAACCACTGCTACTACCAGAAGCTGTGACCTTCAGCCCCTCTGCCACTCTAAAGGGGCCTTAGGCAGTGTATAAAATCAAGGAAAGCCTTGGCCTTTGGTCTTATGAAATTTGCCTTTATAATATGTTGCTAGAGCTGAGTACGTTGATAGGAGGGAGAACTAGAAAATCTAGTAAGACATCATCTTGGCAGAATTACACAGTTCTGGCTTCCTGGGTGGCTTTTACCATCGGTCTTTCTTTGTGTTTCCCTGGGATGTGTATGTGTTTGGAAAAGCCATGGTTCATTGGGCCATGCACCAAAGGGCTAGGTCATGATGGCTGTGTCACGAGGTAAGTGACAACTGCATCCTTAACGACACCTGCAGAGATACTCCTGATTTTCTTGGGTGTGCCTGTCTGTGTCAGAGGTGATGGGACCAGGGTGGTCAGTGGTCACAGGCCCCTGAAAGGTTTGGAACGAGGTAAGTAGTAGTCCAAAGTAGAGACAGGCAAGGGGCCCAGCAAAGCAATGGATCAGCACAGAGGCAGTTATTCAAGGAATCAGAGAACAGAAAAAAGATGGCAGAGGTCAAACCAGCATGGTAATGACATCAAAGAGCAAGGAAAAGAAGGTCAAGGATTCAGAAGACATTGGGGAAGCAGGAGATCTGTGAAACCCTGACAGCATAGGAGGCCATAAGATTAGCACTGAGGCAAGCAGTTGGGACAAGCAGGAGATAACATAAATATTCAGACAATAGACACAGCAAAGAAAACTTAATACCGAGACCTTTTTCTGCACCCAGCCAGGAAAGCTTTCCTGTGCTTCCTGTAGGGGCAAGGTCCGATTCCAGAAAGGATTAGGCGAGCCATTGTTAAAGAGGAAGGCAATAATAGGAGAGCTATATTGGGAGGGGGGCAGGAAAATGACATGGCTGCAGTGGGGAGTGGGGAAGCAAAGATAAGGGATGACCAAATCCAATTGTTCTGAGCCAGAACGACAAGTGGGAATCAGTCCACCTGCTGGCAAGAACTCTCTGTATGGCCAGGATCTGGGCCCATTTCATGAATCCAATGATCCCTAGCAGTCACTTAGCCATATTTTGCCCACTTTGGCCATGCCTTTTTGTTGCTTCAAGATATCATAGGTGTCTCACTAGGTAGCAATGACTTGGGAAGATAGGTCTGAAAGCAAAGACTAGAAAATCCAAGACAATCCAAGGAATGATGAGGGAGATAAGGAGAGGTGACAATCTAACCCTGGAAATGACCCCAAATTAGAAGTCAAGGTGAAACAGCAAGTGAAAGCTGGGACAACGAATGGTCAATAGAGAGCATGCAAATAGCAGTAGAGAGGGCAGAGTAGATCCAAATCGGTGAGCCAGCAGAAGCCAAGAAGTTGGAAGAAACCAGAAGTCTAGATTGAACAACAGGGAGCAAAGTAGTGCACGGGGCGGGAAGATGAATTTTGGCCAACACCTAGGTAATAATGCTGTTTTGTGGAAAAAGTGAGTATGGGAGAAGAGGCACTGGGTTTCAGTATGTCTTGTTGGTCAAACTTCAAAAATGTGGTGAAAATGTTGAGCTTTAGAAGTCCCGTGGAAGAACAAGGAAGTCAAACTCTTAAATACTTCCCCTGACCAAGACTGGGTCAGTTATTGTGATAGTTCAGGCTAGTCTTGTCTTGGGCCTGAATGATCAAGCTTCTCTGCAACTGTAAAAATGTGGCCTCAGTGTTCATAGGAAACTACAATATTGATCTCAGCTTATTTTTTCATTTCAGTTGAGAAGTCAGTCAAGAAGTCAGTCAAGACGTCTGTCAAGAAGTGTGCAAAAAGAAGGTTTTATGAGAGAAGGGACCCCAGCAGCGTCAGCTGCGGCGGCGGCGGCGGCAACGGCGGCGGCGGCAGCAGTAGCCAAAGCCGAGCACAGAAGAGATGAGGTATTACTTTCATCGTTATTAGTAACATAGTTGTCTTTATTAGAGATTTCTAGAGAAAGGCAGAAATATTACTAACTGCACTGAGGGCTAACCTTATGAATAGAACACTGACCCAAATGATGTCTCCTCTCCCCTTTCCGGTTCACTAATAACTAAAATTGTACCATTAGAGAGTTATTTCTTTGGCTTCTCCCACTGTTAAAATGAAGATTACTCTAGGAGGAGATAACATCACACCAAGAACACAGAGGTGAAGGCTGAGACCAGATAACAGATAGATATCCTGTCATTTCCCTACAAAAAGACTTTATGCCCACCTTTTTCTGGTACCCAGATATTTTTACCCATCTTGTTTGTGGATAGCTCTTCATCCTTGTCACTGTGGTTGAGTTAATTTGGCTAATTCTTGGTTGTATTAGAAGCATGATCTAATATGGAGAGAAGAAGTAGACAGTAAACAGTCAATGGAGTTTCAAATCAAAAAGCTGAAGAAGATTTTGGAGATACAGAAAAGACAGTTAAGAAGGTATTGCCCATCGTTAAAAAAAAAAAGCAACTTTGATTTTGTTGAGTAAACTATTTAAGTCCTTTCATTTTTTTTTTCAGTCTTCAAACTGATCAGGAAAGCAAAATGTGGCAAAAGAAATACTTAATTCTAAGGAACAGGTATAGATGATGTTGTACACCCTCAACCTCACTCCTCTGTACTTCCCCCCCCCATTAACTTAGCATATCAGATATTTGACTTTACCTGGTCAAGTCAATTTCCCTATCTGTGAATAGGCAGTTGGAATAAGCGTGCTTAGAAGTCTCTTCCAGTCCTCACATTCAGTGATTCTTCATCAGTTCTGAGAATAACTCACAACTAAGAAAAACATAGTAAATCTATACCTCATTAAGGTAGATATACCTAAAATGAAAGAAATTATTCAATAATATTCTAAATCAAACACTTTCCATCACTTTCAGTTTACATGCCCTCAAGGATGAGATGTTTACCAGACAGTCCTTTGTTCGCCAGTTTGTAACACTTTCCGATGCCTACTTCAATTATCACGTATGTAACTATGTTTTAGATACTCTTTGCCCCTTTTGAGCTCTCCTGTTGGTACCTTTCTGTCATGCAGCTTCTCAAGTGGGTCTTTCCATGTGCATTCATGGGGTGCATATGGATATATAAAAGCTCACTTGCAGTTGTCCTGCCTGACTTTCTCTCTGAAGGGAGAAAGGAGTGGAGGGAGTAGTCCCTGGGACCAATACATTAGAAAGCAGAAAAACTGGAAGTAACTCATCAAGGAAACACAGTTAAGGATATGTCTCTCTAACCTAAATTTTTGAGGCTATGAAATTGAAATCTTCTAAGTGTAGAAGTTTGTTTGGTCAATTTCAGTCAAATAGTCAATTTAGAAATATTCAAGTCATAGGACACAGAATCATAGAAGGGACCTTTGAATTCATCTGGTCCAGCATCCACATTTTACAATTTAAGAAACTGGGGCCCAGAGAGAGAGAGAGATTTACCCAAATTCACATAGGTAGTAAGAGCAGAATTTGAACCTGGTACCCCTGACTCTGGCGCTCTTCCTGATATACCATACTGCCTCCTTTGTGTGAGGTATGTTCCTGTTCCTCACAGGAACATGGAGGTGATGCTTGATTCATGGAGTCTATCCCAGTGGAACAAAAGGTCTGCAAGTTTCCACCATGCTGGAAAAGCTTTAATGACAATTCCAGCAATAGACTTTGCTTTATAGCTAAATAGAGGGAAGCTGGTCACCAGTAGGCTAGCCACTTGGCAGTGAATTATTTGGCCATGGCAAACCATTAAAAATGCCCTGGGTAATTCCCATCTGTTTCTGCAGTAATCGTAGCAAAGTAGCAGAAAAAGGGAGCAAGGTGGTACTCAATAAAAATCATGTTTTTGGCACAGTGCCTTGGACATGGTACACACTTAATAAATGACATTTGACTTGACTGTTAAACATTCACTTAGTTGTTGGTTTTCTAAATATGGGGTCCTTGTCCAATGAATGACAGAAGAAGTGAGTCATATCAGTCTTACCGCAGCCATTTGACCAACAAGAAGTTGCACCTAAACAGATTGTAGACTCGTAGAGTTAGAACTGGAAATGATATTAGAGTTCACCCAGAGACCATCTAGTTCTCTTCTTTCAAAGATGAGGAAACTGAGGCCTGGGGAGATGAAGTACCTTCCTCTAGGTCACCCAGGGCATGAGTGGTTGAACAGGGTTTCAAATCCTGGTCCTCTGACTCTAAATTTAACACTCTCACAGATCCTCCATTGGAGAAGCAAATAAAGGATTTGGTGGAACTGATTAGAAAAGATCCTGATGTTGGGAAACATTGAAGACTAGAGGAAAAGGAGACAGCAGAGGATGAGATGGATAGATAGTGTCACGGAAGCAATGAATATGAGCTTGGACAGACTTTAGGAGACAGTGGAGACTAGAAGGGCCTGGAGTGCTGTGGGCTTTGGGGTCACGAAGAGTTGGGCACAATTGAACAATAATAAAAAATCAATGGTGTCAAACTCAAATAGAAATGAGGGTCACTAATTGTTACATCAGGATACCTGTGGACCCCATATTGACTTGGTTTTAAAATGTAATAATATTATCCATGTTTTATAACATTTTTATATATTTTCTCAAATATTTCCCAATTACATTTGAGTCGGGTTTGGGCTGTACTCAAGTATAGACTGAGAGTTTGACACCTCTGGTCCAGATGATAGTGCAGTTAGTTATATTCAGAACTGGTTGAATGAATAAACTATAGGTAGACAACAGCTTGAATACAAAAGGTCCGGTACTCCAAGTAGACAGCAAATTTAACCTGTGTCTTTAATGTGAGATGGGAGCAACAGAACCTTCCTTACCTGGAATGCTTCAGTTATCTTAAAGAAAGGTCGCGCCCTTAGAAAGCCTTACCTCGATGCCTCATCATGGTGAGGCTGTGACCCTAGTTTCTCAAAGGCTAACAAATGGGGCAAAAGCTTTTGTAGGGTTTTATGCTGTGCTAAAAAAAAGCTTTGAGTATAATCTCAGTAAAGGATTGAATACTTTCTGGGTACAGAGAGTCTCATTGCCAACAGGCAGGCCACTTGCGGATGGATTCTTTGGCCATGGCAACCCATGAAAAGAAAAATATAAAAAGTCCTTAGTCCTCTGCTGCCCCCTTCCACTTTTGCTGTGGTAGGAGCAGAAGAGCTGAAAAAGAGGGTGCTAAAAATGACACATTCCTTGCGACAAATCTCTGTAGTGAAGGAAAACAAATTCCCACGCTGGTTGTGTCAGAAAATGTGTCTCATTCTGCATCTCAGGAGGCAGGTGGCATGCTTCATCAAATCAGTCCTCTGGAACTGTGGTCAGTTAGTCATTGCATTGATCAGAGTTCTCTAGTTTTGCAAAGTAGTTTTTCTTTCTAATGTTGCCATTATAGAAATTATCCTCCTGATTTTGCTCCCTTCTCTCTGTATCAGTTCATATAGGTCTTCCTATATTCTGAGCTTTTCCATGCCCATAGATGACTGTGGACACACAGTCATGCATGGCTCTTCTATGTTCATTCATTTTCTGTTTCCTAAGCAAAGAACAATATTTAATCTAGAGTTACCTGAACTTCAGTACTGAATCTGCTTGGTAAATTAAAAATCCAATCACTCTTGTCTTAGTATTCCTATATCAGATGTCATTTTTAAAAGTATTAAAGTATTTCATTTCCTTTAACATATGACCAAACAGTTAGACTTATTTCTGCTTTGGTAATTTTTCTTCACCAACCCTTATATTCATCAGCTAAGTGTGAATGCCCAGTTAGGAGCTAAATTAATTGGTTGCTGTTAAGATTTAGAAGTTAAAACATCATGTTATAAGTTAATCATGTTATATCTTTCTCAAGAACCCAATAGTCAGTCAGAGGCATAACTTTAGAAATACATATGCCAGATACCTTGACCAAGTCAGTCAAACAGTGTTTTGACTCAGGGATACGAAAAGTAAGCTTGAGGAGAGAGGAGAGGTTTTTAGGTCAAACAGTCAATCAGCAGGCATTTATGAAGCCTCTGTTATGTACCAGGTGCTGTGTCAAGGTCAATTGACAAGCTGAAAAGGGAAGTGAAAGGCACCTGACTTATTGGATTTAAGTTGGCTATGTTCCCAGCTCCAATGTATGCTCCCTCAGGATGTGGGAAGCTACTTCCAGGTCCCAAGTGACTGCTGTTTTTCAAGCTCCTGCTAGGGAGATCACTACCTCTAACTTGGAGTCCACTTTCCTGATGCTAGAATTCTGGGGAAACTAACTGCTCATACAGAGGCACAGTTGTTCAGTTTTGTTCTATAACAGTTTTTTTATGTCCACTGTAATTGGAAATTTGAAGGGATCGCAAATGGACAGATGCCATTTCTTTGAAAATTCTACATGGTCTCTTGTCACCATTTTAAATGAATTATGTGCAATTTTCACAATTCAACAAATAGTAGGCATCTGCTATGTGCAAAGACTGCCAGGTGGTACAATGAATAGAGCACTGGGCCTGGAGTCAGGAAGATCTGAGTTCAAATCTGTCCTTAGACACTTACTAGCTGTGTGACCCTGGGCATGTCACTTAACCCCTATTTGCCTTAATTCCTCATCTGTAAAATGGGGAAATGCTGGAGATAGAAATGGCAAACCAGTCCAGTATCCTAGTCAAGGAAAACTCATGAGTTGGACACACCTCAGTAACAACAACTGTGTGCAAAGTACACTGTACCAAGGAACATATATAAAAACACTGCCCTTGCTCTCAGGGAGTTTACCAAACACCAGAATAATGACACATAGATAGCTAAAAGTCTGTAGTTATCATAAAGAATAGAAGAGGTAGGGAATAGGAATTTCATATTGCTCTGTTGTACTTGTCTTTCAGTGTGTGATGTTTGTAGTACTTTGGCATATGTGCTGCTGTTTCTGAATCCCAAGAAGCGGCAATTTCTTCTTCTTTTTTTTCCCCACTGTGATCCCAGGGATATGGAACTGGTTTGGTTACAGCTTCCTGGGGCCTAGATCTTACTACAGAATGAATCTGAATTCTGACAGCTACAACAGGCTTCCTAAGGCTCCCAGGATGATGTAAAAACAATTTCAAAGTAGAGGAAACGTGTGTGCATATCTTTGTGTGTGTGTGTGTGCATGCATCTTTTTTTTTCTTTTTCTTTTTTTGGTAGGCAATGGGGTTAAGTGACTCGCCCAAGGTCACACAGCTAGTAAGTGTTATGTGTCTGAGGCCGAACTTGAACTTGGGTCCTCCTGACTCCAGGGCCAGTGCTCTATCCACTGCACCACCTAGCTGCCCCAACGCATGCATCTTTAAAAAAAAAATTTTTTTTTTTAAGCAATTGGGGTTAAGTGACTTGCCCAGGGTCACACATCTTTGGATAAGGTAGTATGTCTTATTTAAACTTTGTATGTTGCCCTAATATAGTGTACTCTGCATGTAGCAGATACTTAATGATTGTTGAATTGTGAGTATTGTATATAATCCATATAAAATAAGGATAAGAAACAATGTAAGACTTTCAAAGAAGCAGAATCTGTCTTGTAATTCTTCAAATTTCAAATTCCAGTGGGCATGAAAATACTCCTATAAGCAACACAAAATTTTCTTGGTTTTTCTTTTCTGAACGGTTGGCACAAGAAGGAAATAACACTATGTTTGAGCTAAGCTGTCAATCCAAGGGAACATCTGGCAGCTCCTATCAAAGCAGAACTAGTACTGTCCTACCACTCATTTCTCTATTCCTTGAGTACCAAAGAATATTTTGCATGGATTGTTAGTCTCTTGTTCACAATGCTGATCTGCCATGATCGTTCTGCTTACTAACTCAATGTCCTTTCCATTTTCTGTGCATTCTAGAAAGCAAAGCCCTTATACATACAGCCAAAACGTGTTTCCTCAATGAAAGAAAGGCCACATCAACCTACAGTTTTGGTATGAAGATTTATCTTCTTTAGATGTCTTAAATAATTCAATAACTATTGTTCAACCTTAATAATTGAATATTTCCCTTTAGCCCCATCTAGACAGCAGTAGTCATTCTCAAAACAGTGCCGACTTTTTAATCTTTTCAATGCCCACTACATCAAGAGGTAAGAATTTTTACATACCTTCTAAAGATTTTTCATTTGCTCATTACTATGCAGTTAGCATGCAAGGTAGGTGGTGCTGTGATAGAGCACAGTCTCTGGAATGTGATACATTTCAGTTCAAATCTGCCTGCAGACATTTGCTAGTTATGTGACCCTAGGCAAGTCATTTAAACCTGTGTCTACCTTAGTTTCCTCGTCTATAAGACAGGGGTTGTAATTATAGCACCTACCTCCCAGGATTGTTGTGAAGATCAAGTGAGATAATGTATGTAAAGTATTTTGCAAACCTTAAAGCATTTTATAAAGGGTAGCTATCATCATCAAGATCGTTATTATTATTATTATTATTATTATTTTTAATATTATTATTATTATTATTATTATTATTATTATTATTATTATTCAGGGACAGAAATGCTAAAGAGAGCAATATAGAATGCTAGACATTTCTCTTTGTTCGCTGAAATCAGAGTTAGCCCCTCTGCACAGTAAGACACTGTCCCATTTGGACAGTCTGCTTGAGTGGTTAAATATTTGTTGTTGAATCATTTCAGTTGTGTCCAACGACTGCTGACCCCATTTAGATTTTCTTGGCAAAAATACTGGAGTGGTTTGTCATTTCCTTCTCCAGCTCATTTTATAGATGAGGAAACTGTGGCAAACAGGGTTAAGTGACTTGCCCAGGGTCACACAGCTAGTAAGTGTCTGAAGCTAGATTTGGACTCAGGTCTTCCTGACTCTAGGCCCAATGCTCTATCCACTGCACCACTTAGCTGCCCTTTTGCAGTCTTACTTCCATTTTGTTATTTATCCTGGCTACTGATAAACTTACTATATGAACTAGAAGGAAGGGGGTAGTCAAGGGGACCAGAACAAGATGCAATTATAACACAGCAATTCACTTCACTTTTCTGTGCCTCAGTTTCCTCATTTATAAAATGAGGGGGTGGGGCTAGATAAATTCTGAGATCCCTTCTAAGCTCTAAGGTTCTCATGCTATGATCACTGAAGGAACGAGATGACTGCATGTGCTCCATGGCATCACACAAACTTTGGGGTCTTCAAGCTGATGTTTTCATAGGTTCTGGCTACCATACTAGAAAATAATTTTCTTAGTAAATGTCTTTTCTATTTGCTCCTGAAAAGCCTTTAGAGGGTCATAAAATATGTATTGCAAAGTTCCATATACATGTATGTTGTATCAGATGTTGTAATAACATATTGCAGTATTGTAAAGGGCCTCTGATTTCACGGATGTGGGTTTTCCTTTCAAAAGTGCGGATCAAAATCCATCCACGCTCCCCTGGCCTATGAGACTCTGCTCTGTGCCTTCCCATGAATCATTTAGAAAAGATCCATTGAACATGATGGAAGTCTTTCTCTGGGTCCCAAAGTCATACCCATTCATCCCATTTCCCAGTGCTATACTGCCTTTATTATGTGGTTGCTTTTCAGTTACTTTGTGTAATGCTAACAGCTATTTATACCTACTGTTTATCTCCCTGTTGCCCTTCAGTTATGATTGGCAACATGAAATTTTGATGCTTTGTTGACTAATGTGTTCCATAATTTTAAGCCAGACAAAATATCCAGAAGGATATTAGTATTTACAGGGTTTTGTTTCAAGGTAGAATTCAGCTTGGAATTTCTTAAAACTGCCATGTTCCCAAAAACAACACGGTTAGCCCTCCAGGTGGCATAGTGAATAGAGTGCTGGATTTGGAGCCAAGAAGACCCGAATTAAAATCCTGCCTTATATGATGCTTATTAGTTGTATGACCTTGAACAAGTCTTTTAACCTCTCTCACCTTCGGTTTCCTTGTGTATGAAATGGGGAGAATTGTAGTACCTATGTTCTCCAGTTTTTTGAGGAGCAAATGAGATAATATATATAAAGCACTTTTGAGCCTTAAGCTGTTATATAAATACTAGCTATTATTATTGTTAACCTTGTTTTCCCTCTTCATTTCTGGGCCTAGCTCAGTCTTCATCTGCAGCACCTGTCTATTGCTGCTACTATATTATCATTAGCTACCCTTTATATAACACTTTAAGTTTTTGCATAAATTATTTTCATTGGATCCTCACAACTACCTCTTGAGGTAGATGATGCAATTACCTGCATTTTATAGATGAGAAAACTGAGACAGAGAGGTTAAGCAATATAGCTAGTAAGTGCATAATAGGATTTGAATTCAAGTCTTTTTGACTCCAAATCTAGCACCTTTTCCATGACACCACCCAGCTGCTTCAAGATATGAACATTTATGGACTGACTCAATGGGTTGACTAAGGAGTCTCTGTCATATTCTGGGATTAAATGCACCAGCACATCACCATTCACAAAAAGGAATCTCTCTCTCTCTCTCTCTTTTTTTTTGTCTCACTTGTTTGCCTCTCCCAGGCTTTCTTTTTTTTTTCTTAATTTATTTTGAGTTATCAACAATCACTTCCATAAGCTTTTGAGTTTAAAATTTTTCTCCTCCTCCCTCCCTACTTCCCTCCCGAAGACGGCGTGCAGTCTGATATAGGCTATACATATACATTCTTATTAAACATATTTTCACATTAGTCATGTTGTAAGGAAGACTTAGAACCAATAGGAGGAACCACAAGAAAGAGGAAACAAAACAAAACAGAGCAAAAAAAAGAGCAAATAGCATGCTTCGATCTGCTTTCAAACTCCGTAGTTCTTTCCTTGGATGTGGATAGCATTTTCCATCATGAGACTTTTAGAGATGTCTTAGATACTTGCATTGCTGAGAAGGGCTAGGTCTATCAACGTTAGTCATCGCACAACGTGGCTGTTACTGTGTACAACATTCTCCTGGTTCTGCTCACTTCACTCAGCATCAGGCCATACAAGTCTTTCCAGGTTTTTCTGAAGTCCACCTGCTCATCATTTCTTATAGCACAATAGTAAGGAATATCTCTTTATGTGAGGTCTTTGAACTTATTTTTAAATATTTTGATAACTATTCCAATAGAATTAGTTTCATTTGTAATCTATGTATTTTAGTTTATTCCTTCAAAAATATTTTTGTGAAAAGTGATCCATAGGCTTCACCAGACTGCCCAAGGTTTCAGCAATACAAAAAGATATCTTTGATCTATAATAGAAAGAGTTCTTCCATTTGAACTGCACTAAACACCCTCCATGATTATGACAAACACCTTTGGCAAGAACACAGCCCCCATCTCTGTTTCACATCTCATTTTATCATGATAATCAGAGGACAATTAAACAAACTACCTCCATGATTGTAGCTACCAAAGAATATTATCTGATCCAGAGGTATAGGAAACAAGTTGTAGGAGATGCTTTGTTTTTCTGAGTCAGATGCTTTTTTCATCAACAAACAAGACATAATGGGATATTACATTCTCTAAGCCATTTAATCAGTTGTGTCCTCCACTAAAATCCTCCTCTGATGCCTCATCATGAATTGGGGTTCCCAAAGGCCTTGCTAGTAGTATAGAATGGCTGACGGTTTCTACCAAGCTGGAAAGTCTTGGGGTACAGTCTTTGGCCTTAGCAACTCCTGAACTGGATCTCCACCAATGCAATGGCCAGCAGGAAAGAGACCCTCACAGGATTTTATTTGGTCACCTGATGTGGACAGTTTGTGATCCGCACCTTTGGAGAAAGCACCCACATTGATGAGATCTCAGCCCCATAGAGCATAGAAGTAGACTTTATTTACTATGACATGTGAGTATTATAGATCAAAAGAGGAAAGGAGATTTAGCCACCACTTAAATTAGTGGAGCCAAACTTAAATGGATCCTTGTAGCTGCATATTGACTTAGAAAGACACATGTTAACATTACATGTACACATTTTTATTATATTTTTATTTATTTTGTTAAATATTTCCCAATTACATTTTGTTGTGTTGTGGTTTTTTTTGTTTGTTTTTTGGCTAGGCAATGGGGTTAAGTGACTTGCCCAGGGTCACACAGCTAGTAAGTGTTACGTGTCTAAGGCTGGATTTGAACTCAGGTCCTCCTGACTCCGCCAGTGCTCTATCCACTGAGCCACCTACCTGCCTCCCCAATTACATTTAATCTGGCATGGCCCTATGGCCCTGAAGTACAAAAAATCTGATGCCTCTGCAATCAATCATAGGTTTCTAAACCTCTTCTAGCTGACTTGATGATTATCTGATACTCCTCTCCTAAAAGCATAAGCTAGTATAACACATATTTATTTTACTTTGAGAGTTTTTTTCCCCCTCTGAAGAATTTCCTAACTAAGCTTGGGATAATTGGCACCATCCTGGAGTATTGTAGAACCAAACCTGAGAATCACCAGCTTCAGCTTTCTGGCCAAGTCAAGTCCAAGTGGCATTTCATCAATCAGTTTCCAGTAGTTTGTACCAGAAAAAAGTTAGGGTGGATAATATCATGTGTGTATTAGGGAGGGTAGACTGTGATGTCATGGAAAATGAACTGGCTCAGAAATCCAGACACTTGGGTCTTTATTCTGGCCCTGAATATCTGTGTGACCTTAGGCAAGTCAGTTAATCATGATCAAACATTTATGAATCCCCTTGCTACTTGAGAGATAATGACTTCCCCTTCCCCATCTAAATGGTGTGTGTTGGAGGTTAAAGAAGATAAAACCGAGAATAATATTGTACTTCTCAAAAATAAATTTGCCGTCTGCATTCAAAGGAGAGAGAGGAGCAGCTGCTTGGGGGCTTTGGTTGTTTTGTCATTTAAACCTTTGTTAAGATCCTTTTTTGTATCTGAGATGGAAATGAAAGAGAATTTTAAATTTTAATAGTAATGATTCTTAGAATGGAAAAGGGGGGGATTTAATTTCCTTAGTTCACAAATGTCTCCTGTTAAATAGGTGCCCCTTCTTTCTTTGTTGCCATACCACCATTTTCTGAAGCATAACATTCTTGCCTTTTAGCCCCAGAGATTCTTCGCATGATGACCACATTCTTTCAGAAAAATATACAAGTATATGCTCTTGAGTAAGCAGTAGATAT